GGCACCGTTCAACCCTCAGCGCGCGAGCGGCCGGCGCCGGCCGACGCCTTGGGAGGTGGTGAAAAACTGGCATGTTCGATGCCAATTTGATGCTGTCTAAGCCGTTCAGTGGCGCCAGTGCCAGACGACCGGTACGCTCGGGGCGACTGCGGCGCCGCTGTATCGGTGGAAACATCTCAAGTCGTTCGGGCCGGCTGTCGTCACGGCCCGGGGATGTGTCCAGAGGGGCCTGCCAGCCAGGGGCGAGGTCGTCTGTTCCCCTGGCACGGGGCTGCCACGGCGGCGCCATCGGCGCAGGTTTTCTGACCGCCCCGCCCCGTACCGAGCTGAGAGGGCACGTGCGTCTCCCGGACGGTGCAGTCGCGGGGGCAGGTATAGCCGGTGTTCCCCAACGCCTCCTTTGTTGGCAATCAGACCCCGCGTGACAACCGGGCTGCGTCCGGTGATAGTACACGAGCGAACAGGTACCGACTGGCATCTGGAAACCCCGGCCGATTATCAACAGGAAAACGAACGGAATGCTGCGGCTGTCGCTCTGCTATTCAGAGCTTACCTTCTCCTCTGCTGCAGATGGTATCAAGCGCCTGAATCGCGCATTGTGCAGAGGGAAAAGCCGTCATTACGTGCGGTGGCTATTCTTACACTCCCCTTTAGAGTCCGCATTCTGCATTTGATTGCACTGTGATTGAAAGTATCCAATAATGAATAATGCTAACGATGCGGTGCCCATTGAGCTGACGATGTTTTACATATTTGGCCAGTGCGCTGGGCGGTATTTATATAGCTGGCAATCGCCTCCTACACCCATCACCAGTACAATCGATATCGTCTTCCGTCTGTCCCTGGAGGACTGCCGCATTCGACAGCCTCTTTGTTGGTCAGCAGTGGCCCCTCCACGGGCTGCATTGGTGCTCCAGTAGGACGCTACGAACCGCAGGTCTTTGTCGGCCAGCAGTGGCCCCTCCGGTGGCGGTGCCCCTGTACGGACTCGGACAGTGCGACCAGGCTGTAGCAGTGGCTCCTCCGGTGCCCCTGCACGGACTCGGACAGTGCGACCCGCACGCTCCTTGTTGGCCAGCAGTGGCCCCTTCGGTGCCCCTGTACGGACTCGGACAGGAAGTGACCTCGCTGGGGATGGCCCACGCCCTGCTCGGCTCGGACATCGGTACTGAACATCGGCCCACTACATAGACCGCCGGCGGCGGTGGGAGAGACGGTGGGGGAGACGGGGGGAGACGGGGGCAGCCCTCGCAGTCGGAGTCTGGTCAGCTGGGGAGCGAGGGCTTATGGAAATATGATGGATCTCTGCAAAGGGAAAACACCACATCATCGAATGGTGAAGATTAGAGTGAATGGTGACATTTTGGTATCAATTGGCAATTTAGCAGCTGCAGTGTAACCGCTGAAGTAATGGTTTGGTAGTGGATTTATTGGTTAGCTTTCTCTTCTAGTCATGCCAGGCGGATCTTCAAGGCTGTATCATCTCCTCTGACCTTCATGAACAGACGACAGAACACTAAGGTTGGCATCACAATTCACAACGTATTGTGGAGTGGAGCACTTATTGCATTACAACGCGACCTCCTGCTGAAGTCAAGATTAGCAAACCAGACTGTGGTGAGCTGCTCCGATTCAGTCAACCGTAGCACACATACACTTCACCCATTCAGCGCCAATCCGCTGGAACAGGTTCTGCAGGACTGCAGAGTTGACCCGCACTTTTACGACCATCAATAAAAGTACGTTAACGTTTCGTTTTATTTTGCTCGAGTCAGCTCGGACAGACCGTTTGGTACACTGGTAGTGCAGGAGCTACCATTGTATTGATGAGTCGACCACACCCTACTGAGGTGAACCGGGCCAAAGACCATCAAGTTTTTTTTTAGTACTTGCATGCCTACTCATATTGCACAAGTACGTTAGGTCACAATGCAACTGGATTCCGAATGCTTCTGGACCTAATGTACATAGTCTCGCATGGGCAGTTAGTAAGCTCCAGTTCAAATGACCTTCTGTCTGGCTCGGTGAGAAAAATCAGTTTGTGAGACGAGTCCCAGATGTAATGCCATGTCGCACACATGTAGCGGAATGCCAGACTTAAGGTACCGTTTCTATCAGACTCATGCAAGTGCGTGGGCGAAAGACACGTCCTGGTGACTGGTCTATTCAATTTTGAGCCTCTCGTATCCGAATCCGTAACATTCACTGAATCTCGCTACATCTATCAGTACGAACGCCTAGCAGGCCCGTTGCACAGGTCACGTCGCACCGTTTCACTGTGTTGTATCCTGATAAAATTGCACTTAAAACATAGCCAGGAGAAGCCCATTTATCCTAGGAGGTTAAGGGTAGCCGCAGATTATTTGAAATAGACAAACACTATTCGTTAGAATTGCGCTTTTCTATTGAAAAACAACCTGAGCTAGGTGTACTGCGGCGCGGACCACGGTCGCAGCTATGGCTCCGTTCTCCCGAGCCGCCCACCGGGCCGCTGGCCTTGGTGGGCGGGTAGGGTCCGCGCGCGGACCGATTCCGAGAACGGACAACGCGTCTTTCTCGGTCGGATTAGCGGATGGACAAGATATGTAGACTGGCCTGGCGTGGCTCCCCAGCAGACTCTGAGAAAGGGGAGCAAACAGCCTACGACTAATGAGGCGACCCGTCTGACATCAAATCAAGTGTACCATTACATAGGTGACGGCGTTCTAAAAATGATTTATAAGGCAAAAAATCGCAGGTATAAGTAATTGGGATCGCCTTTATGTGGTGTATAACATTATGCAAAGGTAGTGTATAACATAATGTAGGGTATAACCAATATTACTAGAACATAGTGTATAACAAAATGCGAAGGTATTAGCTGAAAGAAAATAGCATTCCGATTTTATACGCATCATATGAAAATCAAAATACACAACTTATGCTCGACTTTGAGCAATAAAGCGTCCAAAGGTCATCCGTCACAGCTGAAACTCGAACAATAATGCCATGGCATCGACTGTTTAAATCTTAAATGGAGCATGTTACGCCTTGTGTTATTCTAAGATGTATTCGCACTTCTTCCTCAATTCAATCATTTAGATGTCAGTTGTAACTAAATGCCTTTGACATTCCGTACCGTAACATTTCTATGACCCTGATAGGCTTCAAATTATCCGTTGTACATACATCGTTCTTTGTGAAATTACTCTCATTCCATTCATTAATCCGTTATTGCAATTGTTCTCCGAGTCGGCAATGACTACCGGCACCGGTTCCTAGTTCTAGTGAATCAACGTGCATTTTATAATTGGGAAAATATAGACAACAAATTGTTTTAATTACTATTATGGCGTTATGCACATACTTTGGTAAGTCAATTGAATGCATTCGTAATGGATGGTGATTTTTTTGTCATGTTTATCGAAAATATAATGGGAAAGAAATTGATCTTTAACATGCCATAAATGTATTATTTTAGCACTAAAAACGACCGTAACACATAGCTTCGTGCTGAATTAGGTGCTAAATTAAGCACCTCATCCCTCCCAGCTCTCTCCGAGGGACTACTGTCTAGCGCTGTTTCGACAGCCCGAGGGCTCCCAGAAATCGTTTTGAGATGGTTCGATAGCCGACCGGTTATAACTACTGTCCGGATGTGGCCTGGCTGCATTGTGAATGCAGCGCATATAGCAGTGTTGACAAGGTCAGTTCTGCAAACAAAATAAACAGAAAAATCGTCATCTCGATCACTGCATAAGTACTTACTTACAAAGGTTATAACACGGAGTTGGAGCGATATCTGCAGCAGCAGCAGTAGTATGAATACTTATCGCATTATGAATATTGCGTTATACGGCAACATTCACATACCGATGTGAATGTTAGGTACCTATACCTATAGATAATAATATGAATTTCCATAGCGGTCATTGGGCCGTAAGCAGTTGCGGTCGATCATTTACACGTGAAGATATGTGCTCGCGCCTCATAAATGATCCATTGCACCAGCACTTTTCAACCCCGAATGCGTCCAAACGGTGAAAAAAGGAATAAGACCTGTACAATTGTATGGTCGGACTTATTTGAACGTATTGTCATGTAATCCATTGTATACGAAACCAAGGTCGCACAATTCTGCGGAGGGCGCCGCTTATACTGCGGTTAGACGCTCATACAGTTTTAAGGTCAGCATTGTTACAGAAAAAGCACAGATGACGCATTTTTGTCAGTTAACCAGAAAACATGACCTGAATGTGATTCTAGGGGTAGAATCTCAGATGGAGAATCATGGCTGATGAATTCAGATTATATGAGGCCAGATGACTTCGTTCTCATGATCTGACTCATGCTGATGGATCGTGAAATTCCTAGGCACATGGAAATGCCAGCCTCGTGAACTTGAAAACGTCACCGTTTGACATTTTTACGGCAGAAGGCAAGTCATACTCTCTGACGCCATTATCAACGGTAAATTGACACCCACTGCTAGCCTCGTTAGACGTTGCCAGTTCAGCAATGGATAGGAGACCCGATGCTGTTTCGTCCGTCCGTCTGTCCGTCTCTGTCTATCGGTCTGTCCTTTTGTTCGTCTTTATGTCTGTCGGTCTGTCGGTCTGTCGGTCTGTCGGTCTGTCGGTCTGTCTGTCTGTCTGTCTGTCTGTCTGTCTGTCTGTCTGTCTGCCTGCCTGCCTGCCTGCCTGCCTGCCTGCCTGCCTGCCTGCCTGCCTGCCTGCCTGCCTGCCTGCCTGCCTGCCTGCCTGCCTGCCTGCCTGCCTGCCTGCCTGCCTGCCTGCCTGCCTGCCTGCCTGCCTGGCTGCCTGGCTGCCTGGCTGCCTGGCTGCCTGTCTGCCTGTCTGCCTGTCTGCCTGTCTGCCTGTCTGCCTGCCTGTCTGTCTGTCTGTCTGTCTGTCTGTCTGTCTGTCCGTCTTTATGTCTGTCTGTCTGTCTGTCTGTCTGTCTGTCTGTCTGTCTGTCTGTCTGTCTGTCTGTCTGTCACGGCGTCCCTCTCTGTCCGGCAGGTGCGTGTGCTGCTGGTGGCAGTTCTGGCAGTCGGCCTGGGCGCTACGTTGGCCCGGTCGGCTCCTGTCGCCGCTGCCACGCCCCGTCTGCCATCCGCCGAGTCAGCAGAGCAGGGCCAGTTCGGACAGAAACTGAGCTCCGCCGTCGACAAGGAGGACAGTCGCGGACCGCTCCCGGACGAGGCTGACGGCAGTGAGCAGGCGGCGGCGTCCTCTGAGGAGCCGCCGCGGCCACCGCCGACGACTCCGACCGACCCACCGGCCACCGCGCGACCCGGGGTGCCCGCTGTAGTCCGCTCGGCACACCACCGGCGCCGCGGCGGCCGCCGGCGGACGATCAAAATCGCGCCCACCGTCAGCACGCAGACGCTGATCGGCGCCTCCGAGCCGTCGGACGGGTCTGGGTCGACAAAAACGCCACAGCCGCCGGCCACCCGAACAGCCCCTGAGCCCAAGGAGCCGGCGGCGGGCGCGGCGCGGGCCGGACGGTCGGCCGTCAGCCCTGCGGATCCAGAGCCGGTCCCTGAGCAGCGCCGGAGGCTGTCGGAAGACGAACAGGAGACGTCCGGCAGCTCACGCGTGCTCACCTATCACGTGCAGCACACTGAGCACGCCAGGGTGGCTAAATCACCGCGTGAGTCCCCCGACTTTTTCGTGCCGCCCATCCAGCGGCGTCCGTCTCGGCGCGGCGTGCCGCTGTCGGCACAGAGCCAGCAGACGCAGGCCGGCGCCGGCCGCTCGCTGGGTGAGCAGCTGGCTGAACAGGTGCGCCGGCAGCTGGCTGAGCTGCAGGCACAGCATGACCAGCACCTGAAGGAGGACCAGTACCAGCGGCAGCAGCAGCAGCAGCAGCTGGCGCAGCTGCACGCCCAGCAGAAGGAGCAGCAGCGGAAGGATCAGGAGCAGCAGCGGCAGCAGCAGCAGCAGCAGCTGGCCGAGCTGCTGGTCCAGTATGAGCAGCAGCAGAAGCAGGAGCGCCAGCAGCAGCAGCACCAGCAGGAGCAACAGCAGCATCAGGAACAGCTGCTGCATCAACAGCAGCAGCAAGTTGCGGGCTCCAGTACCGAGCGGCCCTACGAACCTCAGTTTGTACCGACCTCACCCACCACCACCAGTGAGCCGTACCGCCACCCGTTCATCCCCTCCTCTCCCACGACCACGAGCGAGCCGTACCGGCACCCCTTTATCCCCTCCTCTCCCACCACCACCAGTGAGCCCTACAAACACCCCTTCATCCCCTCGCCGCCGACCACCACCAGTGAGCCTTACGTGCATCCGTTCATTCCCTCCTCTCCGACGACCACCAGCGAGCCTTACGTGCACCCGCACATCCCGGTCCCACCGGAGAGCACCCGGCAGCCACCGGCGCCGGCCGAGGAGCGTCCTCAGGCGCGTCGCGTGTCGTCTGGCTCCTCGGTGCCGCGGCTGCACCTCCCCAGGAAGCCGGTGCCGACGGCCGTCCCGCCGCCGGTGGAGATCACCACGGAGCCACCGACTGCCGCTCCGGCCTCCGACCCGGCGGCCACCATCGTCCACCAACAGAAGGTGGAGGCCGGTCTCATCGTGGGTGAGTACGGCGAGCTCAGCCTGGCCGGCGACACCGTGCGAGGCGTAAAGTACTCGGCCGACAGCAGCGTGGACCGCAGCCTCCTCGAGAAGGCGCTCCGGCAGTTCCTGCAGTTGTGAGCGGCGCCACGGTGAGCGCCGCGCGCTGCTATTTATTGGGGCTCCGCCCGTACCGCGGGCGGGCTTCACAGGCTGTGAGGAGCGCGTCGCCATCGTCACTGGACACTGGTGCGGCTGAGATGCCCCGTTACCATCGCGTCGGCCGGAGAACCGTCATAGCCGGGGGAAGTGAGAATTCAGTGGAATCTCACTGGGGGCTCCCCGATCTCTGAGGAACGGGAGGGGAGCGGGCAGCGGGAGCTCGGAATGAAGCCTCAAACTACGTACTGTCACCAAATATCCTTCCGCCCGTCCATCCGTCCGTGAGTTTGTGCGATCGACGTCCTTCCGCCCGTGAGTGCGTTCACACGTCTCTGTCCGGTAGTTCATGCGTCCGCCCGTGTGGCCACGCGACCTTGATGGCCGACGCAAGGTCGTCGCGCAGTGACCACTGGGTGAGGCGTTACGGGGAGCTCGTGGGAGCGGCCTTGGAGCGGCCACCGCCGCCGGCCGGTCATCGAGTCCGGTCCAGGAAGCTGACGGACAGGGGTACCGCCCGGCCCCGCCCGTCCCGGCCCACCCAGACTGCACCCGACCGGTCCGCTGGAGCCGGGCCGACATGTCTGCAGGGGCCTGGTTGGGCAGCTCAGATCGGTAGCGGTGGAATGTATTCAGAAAAGCTTCAGAGTCTATGGGGCATTACTGGGGCTGCGGGAGACGCATTTGTATATAGACGTGCCGTCATCATGGATGCAGTGATGGAGTGAGTCAATGTTGAACGTTGTCGATGATGGTAAGAGAGATATGAAGTGGAGAGTAATACTGCCGTACCATGAGTGCCATTTGTTCTGACGGCTGTGTTTGTGCACACTGTCACATCTCATCCTGTCAACGCGAAAATACATGTGGAGATGAGAGTTCATGACTTTTAACTTTATGCATAGAGGACTCCATTGTGCGTTATTCAACACCTATTACCAGCGAAATCAGCCCGAAACGTGGACCGTATTTGGCCATCGAGTCAATTTAACCCTATTCCTGGCGGGCTCCGCCGGGACAAGAAACTGGCGGGGGGGGGGGGGGCCGATTCGGCCCCCCCTTCAGATCTAAAAAACTACACATCGCAGCGACAAACGGTAAACGGCATCGGATACGCACGGTCAAGATCTACAATTTTTACTAAGTTCATTTTCAGGTCAGGTCAAAGATGACGTCACAGGGGTCGAAAAAGTCAAAATGGCGGCGCTAGATATGGAGAGTTTTTCTCGAATAACTTTCGAATTAGTCAAGATAGGAACAAACTAAGGGCATCATCGTGATCCTCTCGTCAATCCGCATCGAATGATATATATGTTGACCTCGAAAGGTCAAGGTCAAAGGTTGACCTCAGGTCACGTGACCTCGAGGTCATCATGTATATCATTCGATGCGTCTTGACGAGCTGAACACAATGAGACCATCCACGCGTCTGTATCTTGTTCCTGTACGGAGTTATTGGCCAAAAACCTTTGGTGAACTTTGATGACGTCACATGACCTCACAGCTGCCCAACAGCAAAACAGACCTCAAGGTAGTGAAGGTTGATCGTATATGAAGTCATGTATGGTATATGGGGCCATTCCGACCCGTTTTAGTGGTAAAAACAGGGAGATGATTTTTCCCCCATTGACTTATAATGGGGAGGTCGCGAAACTGACCTGACCTTAGGTCACCGATATCAAAATTCCGAGATATACAAATTGCACATACTGGTACCCTTACTAAAGCCTGAAGAGAAGAAATTGATCGGTCAAAAACTCTAGCTCTGGCGTGATTGCAAACTTTTCTGAGGTAGGGTCACCAAACCGCCTCTGGTGACCTGACCTGAGGTCAGATCAACTCAAAATTTTCAGACATGTTGCGTAGAAGCCTTTTAGGAAAAGTCAGAAAATTTGAGCTTCCTAGCTCAACGCGTTTGGGAGAAATAACCGAAAACCTCAGGGGGGGGGGGGCTCCTGAGGCCCCCCCGCCAGGAATAGGGTTAAAACGATTGCTTTGAGCCATGCTGTGGTTGAGAAAAGTGACAGTGTGTATGGAATAGGGTAACTGTGGGGAAAACGCACCCCTGGGTTAAACGCCTCCCCTAAAAAAATCGTAGATCTTATCGGCGGATAGTCGTTTTATCCTGTCTTTCAGAACAGTCAGCTGCTTGTTTACGTAGTTCTCTATTTCCGGTTCTGCGTCTTGAGGAGCAGCGTGGGTAGGTGCTGATGTTGGTTTTGGGTGTTGTTTTTGTTGTTTTTACAGAAGTTTCCTAAGCTTTTGATGCCCTCTTTATATCACAAAACTTGCTATTGTGCACATCACTCAAAACTGCGTTTTAATGTCATTCTGTTGAATTTATTATGCTGCGGCGTTAGTGGCGCGTTTTTTGTCAATATTTTGTTGACCGGAAATGGAGTGGATGGGGAAAGACGCCTACTCGATGCATGGGGCAAGACGCCCCCAGTTTTCTGAAAGGGGGGCGTTTTGCACTGTGGTGAGAGTGCAGGGTAGCGCCCTGTAGGTCGGGGCCGAAAAGGCCTCTCCCTGTCCTTTTTTGCTGATATATCCTAAACGACTGCAGATATCGTCACCAAACTTTCAGGACTCCTCCGGGCATCCATTTTACACATTGCAACAACATTTTATTCCAAAGGCTATGATAGGTTGACCACAAATGACGTCAGAATGACGTGAAGTTCTGCCATGTTCATCATTTTCTGTTGATGGATGGGGTGGGGGCGCTTTGCACATGGGTGTGGGCGTATTACCCAGGGTGTGGGGCAAAACGCCCTTTTGTAAGGGTATGCGGAAACCTTTTTGGGGGGTTAAATACCACACGCAAGTGTCTTTTCTTGGTCTCAAAGCGTAGTAAAAAGAATGAGCTACATGATGGTGCCCAAAGGTTTCAGTAATCTGGGTTGGGTTGAGTGTCAGAAGGTTTCGCGCTTAATGGGGGCGTTTTTGACCTATTCACCCTACCCATTTCGGCAGGGGCCGGGGCGGGAATCCGCCGTCCCTTCTATGGCTCAGACCTCTGTCCATGTGTCACGACTCTCTCAGGAAAAACTTGTATAGCTGCATAGATACTCAATTTCGTCGCGAGTTATGAGCTGATTTATAAAAGGATTCAATATCGGAAAACTTTGAACATACCTCTTTTGTTTTCTAATGACTTCAGTCCTGATGACGGAAAAATATATTGTTGCAGCATGTCAAATCGAGCGTCATGAAACTGAACTGAACACTAAATCGACGGCATGAAACTGAACACTAAAAAGACACAGATGATCGTGCTAGGAACGCCTGCAATGCTCCGAACACTGCCGCCTGTCGTTGTCCGTTTTTACGGGGACATAATTACCGACTCGAGAGAGGTCAAGAACCTCGGTGTGTACATTGACCGTCACCTCAATTTTGAAGCTCACGTGACATACATCTCACGGAAATGTACGGGTATTTTGATAGGGCTGTCACACGCGCGTCACGTGCTACCGAAACAGACATTGAAGGTGATTGTGGAGGCGCTGGCGATGTCAGTGGTGCGATATTGCCTGTCCGTGTACGGCACATGTGGTGTGACCCAGCTCGGCCGGATTCAGAAAGTTGTTCACTTTTGTGTTCGCGTCGTGACGGGCAAACGACGCTTTGACCATGTCAGCGGGGCGCTGCAGGAGCTCCGCTGGCTGAACGCAGAGCAGCTTGCTGCCTACCACACTGTGTGTGCGCTAGCGCGTATAATTGAGACGGGACAGCCTGAGTACCTGTACAACACCATTGGACCGAGAGCGGACCAAAGGCATGCCCATGCAACACGACAGTCGGGGCTAATCACATGCCCCAACATTCGTACCGAAGCTGGAAGGAGGAGAATGTGTTTTCGGGGAGTGAGGTTGCTGAACAGTGTGCAGGCTGTTCCCGGCGAGCCTGGGTTCCGCCGTACTGTCAGGCGGCTCGTGGGATCGGCTGACGCGCTGTGATCAGTTGGTGTATGTTTGATGGGTTTGTGTGTTTAGTGTAAATGTGTCCTCATTGTGTCCGCATTGTAACTGACGTAGAAGAATGAAAAGCCATATTGTATGGATTTCTTTTGAATACATCTGTATCTGTATCTGTATCTGTCATCTAGGATTTGTCACCAAAGTGGCTGGGGAACTGAGTTAGAGGGGAAGGGCGCGTCTAAAAAGGTTCCCCTCAAACGCTATCTGGCGGCCGTCCACTCTGTCGCTAGATGGCATTGGCAGTTTACGCCTGAATGTATGCTGTCCCGCAAGGCGCGCAGTGCGCTGTCACGGCCGTTGTCGCCGGCTGTCCGGCCAATTTCCACGAAATCGGAGGAGCAGTCAACGCAAAAACTGAACAGCCTTGAAGGTATCTTCTTTGTGGCTGTCCCTAGTCGACGCTAGGAGTCCAAGTAAATGACCTATAGTAGGCTTCTCCGCTTATTTCTGCACAACCAACGGACAAAAATGCGATGCAACTTTTATGCAAGCTGCTTTTCTACATAAAGACAATATATGCAGCTTGGTCGGTGCCGAGTGCAGGAGTGTGAAGTGAACACTGTTACTACAGACACACACTAATGAAATCTGCATTGGCTTGCAATGCACAATGTTTTCCCAGTCGAGGCAAGTTTCTACGACTCAGTAGCTACTTAAATAAAAAAGGTGAAATTCTGAACGTCTGCCAGCCACTGCATTTGGTATAGCAGTCACGATTCCACGGATAGCGGTACACGGCACCCACTCCTGAATCTCTATCCAGTAACGGCTCAAACAGACACCTGCACTCTCATTCGTCTGTATTGGTGTCGCCCCGAGGGCTGCAATGACGGTGTCACAATGCCGCTCACTGCACGAGTCCCTCCCTCCCGGTCCCCCACGACACTCGCCCGCAGAGCAGATCCAGCCAGCCTCCAATATGGAGACCTCGGTCCGCTGCTGCCTCCACCGGGGCCCAGACCGTCCCCCCAGCCGCGCTGTACAGAGGTCAGGCCAGGTCAGGTGTCTGGCTAGCCAGGCTCAGCTGAAGGGGACCGGGTGATCCCTGCGGCCATCCCCCTCCCACCCGAGGTACGGGGCCCCACTGAAAAGCCCAGTGTGAGGGGTACTTAGCAAGGTGTGAAAATAACAATAGTCGCACACGTTTCGCCCCCGTTGGCCCCAGCGCGGAGGTACTGACCGAGCGCGCGACTCTACAGAGGCCCGCGGGCTCACAGGGTCCAACACCACTCACACACGCACACACGGGGGAGTAGCTGGTACTACCGTCCCGCCAACTTCAGCCGGTGGACACACCGCCGCCAGAGGACGCCATTAGAACGGGCGCCGGTCGTCCCAGTCGGGGACCGTCTCGACCAATCGGTCTCGGAATGAGACCGCAGCGGGCCGCAGTTTTTCGGGTGCAGTCTCAGTCAGCTGTCATCGCGGCGCGAAAACGCGCCACTGCAGTTCATCGTAAAACCCACAAAATACACTTCATGAGGCCGCGAGAGGGGCCGCGCCCGCCCTCCGCCTCGCTGCGGCGCAGCGTCACAAGCCTTACAGTTCTCGGATGGAATGAAGCGCCGCTAGCGCCACCTGTTGAGGCCGCCACTACGCGCAGGTTTCGGCGGCGGCCGCGGGCTCGGCGGCGGCGCTGCGCTCGCTGGGCTCCGGCTCCGAGGGCGGGGTGCAGGAGCCAGCCGGAGCCGGAGCTGGAGCCGGAGCGGCCGGCGGCGGCGTGGCCTCCGGCGAGAAGTCGCGGGTGGCGGCCGTCACCGCCTCAGGGCACTCTTCCTCTGAGGTAGCGCTGCCGCTCGAGATGCCTCGGTTCCTGCGCGGCAGCAGAGCGCTCCAGCTCATGGTGCGCGGGTCCAGGAACTCCATCGTGTTCAGGAACTGCTTTCCTGCGCGGACGGAGACGACGGAACGGTCAGAACAGCCGACGGGAGTGGGTAGACCTCGATGGTTAACAATTTTCACATTTATGGTCGATGTATATGATCATGCCATTTTCCCCAGGCATCGACAGCCATTAGCCAATGCTATTGGAAATCTTATATACCTATGTAAGTGGCTACACGTACCCAGCAAGCCTTGTAACACTGACAGAGCCACTTAACTCACGAGGAGGGCCACACACTCATGAAGTAACCCCAGTCAACAAAAGCATCAACAAGATAGCCCCGAACTCACCGGAGAAGCCTCCGACGGCGAACAGTTTTCCGTCGACCACGGCGACGTTGACATTGGCGCGGCGGGTGAGCATCTTGGGTCCGGACGTCCACTTGTCCTCCACGGGGTCGTACAGTTCGGTGGTGTTGAGCGACTGCACGCCGTCCAGGCCGCCCACCACAATCAGCTTACCTGTGGAGCGCACATACGCGGGGCGTCAGACTTCAGCATGGTCGGCCGGGGTAGCTACTGCATTGGTGCATAGCAGGACATGGCTAGTGATAGCATTGACCTTAAGCCTCGTAAGCCTAGCTGAAGGAGTATACCGTAAGGCGTAAGCTACGTTAAGCCTGTTCTCTGGTCAGCTGAATTGTCTTAATACGTTTTCAGGTGCACTGAAATTAAAAAATAAGTATGTAACCGGTTGTACGCCAATGGTACAAATATCGGTCTAAAACCAATAATAACAAAAATCAAACCATTGTCCACTCACAACTCAGCACATTGTATGTTGTCTTACAGCAAGTGTGAAACTTCCCGACTGCTTTGAGTGCGAGATAGGTGCGAGGCCCCGAGCTAAGAACAAACAGCACCCTACAAAACACGCTATAACCACGTGTTAAGCCAGACAGAAACATATCGCAAAGGTCAACCGGTGGTGGTATGAATGGCGGGCGCGCACTCGAGATAGACGCAGTGCACGTGTCACAACACACCTCGGCTCAAGGCCCTGTGCCGGTCCCGCTAGGCCCGTGACAACACAAACGGTAGATAAGGTGTATCCGAGTGGCCAATCACGCCGGCCCTGGAGAGGGTGCTGGAGATTTATCGATTGGAGTAGTGTGGACTGTTAAGTGCCCCCCCCCCCCTTCTCAACGAACGGTAAGATGCACCGTTACTGGCAAAACCAGCTGAACTACTAGATCGCTTTGCTTAGGTACCGTTTGTCCGTTCGATTGTTCGTTTGTTTGTTTGTTTGTTTGTTTGTTTGTTTGTTTGTTTGTTTGTTTGTTTGTTGGCACTTGGCTGGTTGAACAATTTGCTCGAATTTAGCAGATACCCGATCCATATCACTCACCGTTCATAACGCAACAGTACTCCACTACCCACCCTTCAGCCAGCAGACTTCTCCAGTACCCACCTCCCTCTATCATCTCCCCACTCTTCCCACCTCCCTCCCAACTCCTCCCCACCCAGCACTGACCGTTGACTCGGGAGACTCCGCTGCCGCGCCGCGGGGTCGACATGGGTGTCACGAAGGACCAGGCGTCCCGGACCGGGTCGTACACCTCCACGGAGCTGAGGCAGTTCCAGGAGTCACAGCCGCCGACGGCGTACACGAGGCCGTTCAGCACCGTCACGGCCGCCTGGTAACGACCTGCGGGGGGGGGGAGAGGGTCAGTGTCGGGTTTGGTACAGGGGTGCTACTGACATGGAGCGAACTGAGTGGTGTTGGTTAGAGGCAGAAGGCGGACGTTGCGGGCTGGGACAGGAACAGTGAGTTTATTGTCCCCATCTGAGGACAGTGCTGAACAGTGAAGATTACGGACTGAGAAAGACCAGCAGGCAGCGAGTCAGCTGTTAGGCTAGGACCCACCCACCTCCAGTTTTCGGTCAAGATCGCCTGGGAGAGAGACAGAAGTAGGGAGGATTTATTGTCAGTGATTTAGACCTGGGGAAAAGGCTCATCGGTAGCAGAGCATATGTCACGGTAGCCGGGGTAACTTACCGACATTCAGAGAGGCCATGGGCGTCCATTTGTTGGTAGCCGGGTCGTACATCTCACATTTACGACTGCCGAACTTCCCATTCCAGCCGCCGATGCAGCAGATTTTGCCGTTGAGCGCGCAGACGCCTGTGAGCAGAGACGCCGAGTGGTCAGCTGGGGTGCCGGCGGGGTCAGTGTCACACAGCAGGTGAGGTCAGCCGGCGCCGCCCCTCCGCCGCCGGCGGCTCTGTAAAAGGGACCGGACGCGCAGCACCGGCGGCCAGCGCCGGCACCCGGCGTGGGACAGTGGGGGCGGGAGTGGACAGCTTTCTGTCCAATGTAGACCGGTAAGTACTCTAATTAGAACGGTTCCAGAGAAAGGGGGAAGGGGAGAAAGGGGACCCTGTGCCAGGGCTGGCCGTCGGAGCTTTTGGACAATCGAATCGACAGCACAAAATCAATGCAAAAAGATAAATCCTACCGGCACGTCCTAACATTATACGACACACAGGCATGTATCAATGAAACGCCTAAGCACATTTCGTCCTATCGATAAAATAGCACAACATAAATATATTGCGAGCGAGTGTGCTACGACAAACGTTAGAGTTTATTTGCGTCTTTAAATCAAGTCTGATAAAACACGGCAAACAATCATATATGCATTTAAAACATAAGTACTTCGGTTATTTGTGATGAATGGTATCAGAAGCGCAAGCAAGATGATTAGGATATAACGTTAAAGTGACTTCAATATACAGGATAAAAGACCTAAATGCTTAACAAAAAAGTTGGAAACGAAACTTTACTTCGGCAATCGTCAATAAAGGTACCAAACTTGTTCTAATTATATCTGCATCTAAAAGTTTAAAATTCTTACCACACGGAAATAAAGAGGCAAATCTGAAACAATTCATAAAACCAATGACGCATCACGCCAAGGTAATTTGATGTAGCTACACTAAACGATCAGATGTTCTACTGGCAGCACGCAGAAAATGCTAACGCGAATATAAATGACACTTCTGGCAAACGCTACGGCTTGAGTTGAAGCATCGCTTACTCGTCTGCACAGTGCACAGAGTACGATTTAGCTTGAATCACAAAAATTCATTTTGTAAACAGAGGAAAACAAAGCAGACTGAAGTCCCGAACTTAAGCCACAGCGTTTGCCAACGACAAGTTAGTCAACCAAACATAATGAAAATCATAACTCGGCAACAACCACAAACATATCTGCAAAACAGCGAAAACTTAAATAAATAAGTCTCAGACTCACCGTAGTCATGAAGGGAGAGTGAATTTTGGATTTGGTCAGATACAGAAACGAATGACACTTCTAGCCAGCTGGTCGAGGCGCCGACCCGACCTGCCTCGTCCATCCAACGGGGGCCATGACCGTGATTCGCAGATACTCCGGAGGTGCTCTAGAGATACTCTGAGATAGTCTAACTCTGAGTGACTCGGGCAGACTGCGGACGGGACGGGCGGCGACAACGACCAGCGAGCTAAGTTAGTCAGCTGACCGATACTCTGTGAAAGTGAGACAACTGATCGCGGAGCGCGGCGGGCTCAGCCGGCAGGTAGCAGAGTCGGGGGCCAGCAGCCGGTGGCCACACCTGCAAAAGTGGACGGAGAAGGCGGCCGTCAGTCGGTGAACGGGGCAGAGCGGCACAGGTGCGCGCACGGCAGTGCGGACGACGCTACTGGCATACAGTGACAGAGTCGAGCACTACCCAGCACCCAGACAGACAGGCGGAGGACATGCCTCGTACGACACCCACCCACCGCGCCTCGCCCCGCCCTCCGGACATTCGCGCTCCCACTTTCCCCACCCTGAGCCCCTTTCACTCTCCCTTCATCCACACACCCTCCCCAAACCTCCCTCCCATCCCCCGATATCCGACGGCGACCACAGGACTGACCGGCGAACCAGCGCTGCTTCTGTCCACCTGAGCCGCCTCCGACCGAGCGAGCGAGCGACCGAGAGCGACCCACCGAGCGAGCGAGCGACACCGCGTCAGGCCGCACCTGGAATAGCGACATAACGGGTCGTGCAGAGGCGACGGCGGCGGCCGCGCCGCGCCGCGAACCCACCCTGGTTGGAGCGGGCCATGTGCAGCGAGGAGCGCGGCGACCACTTGTCCAGCTGCGGCTGGTAGCACTCCACAGAGGCGAGCTCGTTGTTACCGTCGCAGCCGCCGACAGCGTACACTCGGCCGTCGACGACGGTCAGATCGAAGCGGCCGCGCGCCGCCAGCATGGGCCGGCACGCGCGGATCTGGTTCGTCACCGGGTCGTAGATCTCGACCTCGCGCAGACACTCGCCGCGGTCGTACCCGCCTGTTCGCAGACGGTTACGGGCTGGCGTGAGCACAGAGACTTGGACAAACATAGGCAACAAACGGCGATAAACGATATGAACGATCAAACTATCATTCTGCGTTCAATTATGCCTTCTACATGCTGGAGGATTTCTAGTGAACGGCTTTCATGGCTTTCTACGAAGTTTTCCTCGTTCAATGCTCATCGTTTCCATTCTTTTTGATGAAGGAATCTCACCAATCTAACGCTCGTCACTCCTTACCGCAGATGATGAGCTGGTTGTTGAGGTTGCCGGCGCCGACGGAGCACTTGGCGCAGGCCAGCTCTGGCAGCATTCCGTACGAGTCCGGCTTCTCCATGCTGGGCGGCCGGCTGCTGCGCGGCGAGCCGGTCGGCGAGGGCGCATTCAGACGCTGACGGACCGAGAGGACGGCCAGCGTGCCAGCAACGGTCACCAGGGAGACCATACCGCGCTCTGGGGAAATAGAGGACCAACGGTTATCAACGGCTACCAGAGAGACCCTACCTCGCTCTGTGGGGAACAGAAGACCTTAGCAGCGGTCACTAGCGGTCCCCGTTCGCAGAGAGGTCATATCGCACTCTAGGGGGATCAGAGAACAAACTGTTGTCTGCAGTTATCAACAGTCGCTACTCGCCAATGATTTCAACAGTTCACAGCAGACATCCCCAATAGCAGGGGACCACGCTGAAATATTATCTCCTCAGTCATTTGCGAGAGGCACAATCTCACAACAACAAAAGTCCGTCTCAACTTTCCAGTCTTTAACAATGCATTATAAAAGCACACACACGCACACCAATCACGGGCTGGCGGTCTCTCACGTACCGTCCACCTTGGAGCAGGCCAGCGTCTTCCAGTCGCACTCCTCGTCTCTGATGGCCTCGGCCCGCTCGGAAGAGTAGGTGATGGTGTGGTAGTGGCCGTTGGAGCCGCCGCCAGAGTGCTGCTGGATGGCCGGAGACTGCTTACGGCCCGTCTGAAAACGGACGGACCACAGCGTCTGAGTATGATAGTTTGAGGAGACGAGAAGCGCAAGCTCGGCTGCGAATGTTATAGTGCGAGGTGATAATTTTTACATTTCTTTTGGGCCAGCATTTGTAAAACATGATGAGGTTGGTTATTGACCACGTAACCGAATGACATTTCTTTTGTTCTATTTTTTTTTTTTTTGAAGAAGAAGAAATGATGAATAACGACCGAAAAAGATAGCTTATCCGTCTAAATAATGTATGTATAAAACTTTATCGAGTGTCATTGTTTCGGCATCATCAGGAACGTCTCATGTGCCAGGCAAGATTGCCAGGACTTCCGCGAAGTCTTAGTAATCGACCTCGGTAGGGAAGACGTATGAGAAGCCACGTCACTGTCATACCTTTTTGCTGAGTTTCTTGTAGTCCTGGACCATCTCTGTGTTGGCGGAGTCGCCGGAGACGATATCCGAACAGTCGTGCAGCGACTGATCAATATTCATGTAGAGCAGGTGAAGCTGGAAAATGACAGGGAACAGTGCGGGTTTTCAGAGAATGAGACTGCACATTGCAATAGAGGTCGATGCAGTAGATGGGAGACTACGGGGATATGAATATTCTACGCCGTGGGAGACACCAGCCGTACTCCTTCTACCGTGGGAGACAACACATGCAGCTGCAGTCAGTATCTGTACGGAAACGTAGAAGATAAGGAAGACGCCGGTCCTCTCTGACCGGTCGGCCGGCGCGGGCCACCCGACACGGCGTACCCCCTACCCCCGTGTGACGTCACTACCGGGAGGTGCCGCCTATCACTGGGGGAGGGGGGGGGGGGGTCACCGCCGGAGCCGCGCCGCGCTACCGGAGCCGTCTGACCCGAGTCCCATCCCCCCCCCCCCCCGACTGGGACCGCGGCTTCCGGGTCCCAATAATACCAGCGGGGACTGTACCCCAGCGGGTGCCCCTTCCCCCCTCCCTGCCACCTGGCGAGCCAAGACTCTGATGAGCAAAACAGCGGTGTGTGGGGAGGGGAGGGTCTGGAGGGTCTCAGAAAGGACCGGGGCGGACGGTGGGACTAGGGGGAGAGAGCCGGTCCGGCGGGTTGTTTATTGATGGCCGACGGTCGGGTGCACTGTCGGACCCTCCGTCCCTGCCCGGGGCAGACCGGTCAGTGGTGGGGGGCGGCGCGGCCCTGTCAGCTGCCACGGACGCCGGCGAGCCCCCAGACGCTGGCACCGCGCCGAGGGGAGCGCGTGGCCTGGCTGGCACCGGACGGCACCCTCCCCCGCCGGCCGCGGCCGCGTGGTCTGGCCCACTGCCGGCGCCGCGCCCCTGCCACCTCTGCTGGCGCACGACTCCGCTGACCAGCTCAGGCCCAATGGAATCCGAAACCACGTCCTCTCAACCGACAAAAAAGGCACAGCGACCCCAACTGGCGACGCACGAGACAGGCGCCAACGACTTCAACAGAAACAGTTGCACAACGAGCATTGCACAAATGTTGACCGTGAATTGTCATCTTCAGTTTGCAAGAACTCGTATATTTGGCTCGTAGTACGTATTTTACACACCATATCTGGTCTGTGCTCGCTTCAACAAGACATTTATGCATATCAGAGCACTTATGTGTACACCAAGAGGTGTATAATAATTATATATCTGGGTGGGAGTGTTCTTTAGTCAGCAGCAGCGGGGAGGGAGGGGTGGCTGGCACTGGTCACCGACCGCCGACTGCTGATCGTTCGCTGATGAGGACCAGAGGACAGTGAGGACACCGTGCCAGTCGCTGGGTCAGCACTGTGCTGACGTCAGAAACAGCACACACAGGCACGGATATAGATACAGAGAGATATACAGAGGGATAAGACAGAGAGATTAGACAGACAGACAGGCCGACCAGTGCGACAAGTTTATGAAATCCAGGGTGAGGGCTACAGCCGTCTACAACCGCCGGTCCTCGTAGTTGTGTACGGGACCGCGAGCAGTCCAAAACCAATGTTGCTCCTGTTGTTGTGGAGGAGAGAGGAAGGAAGAGGATGACAGCGGTCCGACCTCTGGCGTCTGTTCTCTCGGCAATAAACAGGATAACGACTGAGTCGGCCGGGTGTGTGTGCGGCCGGCCGAGGGAGTGCGAGCGAGGACAGCGGCCTCAGTGGAGCGAGGCTCGTCGAACAAAGGCTCGGAAAGAGCGGCGGACACAGAGAGGGTGAGGAGGACACGGAGATAGGGAGAGGAAAACAGAGGGAACAAGGGGCTAGAGAGCGGCGGAGCGCAAAGATAGGGAGGAGAGAGTACGGAGGCCGTGTCTGCATTCGAAGGACAGGTGGAAGGAAGAGAATCGAACGATACGAAAGCAAGTGGAAAACAGAGTGGAAGTGCGACACGGCAGGGACAAAAGATGCTGAAGTCCGATACGACTTAGGAATGCGAAGTAGGGCAAGATGTGTTCGAAGTCTGCGGAGGAGGTTATCCACTTGTCAGCACAACCAAATACGTCTCTGTGTTTCCCCACAGTTTCGAAAGGAACCAAGACATTGCCGATAATTTATTCACCTTTTCCGTGCTCTCCTGCAGAGTCATGTTCTCCTCGACCATGAACTTGCGCAGCCAGTCGAGCACCAGGAGCGCCTGGGTGGCCATGTTGATGGATGTGACCTCCTCCAGGGCGGGAGTCAGCAGCTCCACCTTCACCTGAGGCAGCTTCATCATCTGCTTGGTGGAGACCATCTCGGCAAACTGAGAAAACGGAGGCGGAGGCGAGTGGTCAGAGATCGGAACGATGAAATCTCTGCTTGAGTCCCAGCCTGTCATAGCATGTCAGTGTTTTACAACTTACAAGTGTCGGTGGCATTGCTTGTCATGCATTTTATGTTGGTAACCGCTCTAATTGACATCGATTCGGTGTCACCCTTTGGCATTCACTCGCTACCTCATATCACTTCTCGCATCTCCCGATGTCCCGCGATCCCTGAACATCACTGTGTCCCCGCTCTCGACTCCCGTCACTAAAACCTCCCTTCCCACTCCATCATTCCCCTCACGCATCGCCGCCGCCGCTGTCACAGCCCGTCACTCACATGTCTGACGATGAACTCGTCGATGACTTTGACGAGTTGGGTGTCGGCCACGATGCCCGGGATGGCTCTGATCTCCAGACAAGAGTGGATGTCCAGGTTGTTGACGAGCCACTGGGCGCAGGCGGCGGCCACCTTGTCCATTTTCAGCCGGACAGCGGCCGAGTACACGGAACGAACCCGACTGGGGTGCGCGGACAGCCTGCCGACAGACACAGACACAAAGACCGTCAGATTGTTGGAGAAGATGAGAGAGCAAGGAAAGATAATAAATAGGAGAGATAGAGATAGATGGAGGGAGAGACAGGGCAGGGAAGGAGGAAGAGGAACGAGGGAGAGAGGGAGAAAGGAGAAAGGGAGAAAGGAAGAAAAGAAAGGCAGAGAGAAAGGGAGAGTCGGATATGCGGGGAGAGGAATGAAAGAGAGAACGAGAGAGCGAGAGCGAGAGCGAGAGCGAGAGCGAGAGCGAGAGCGAGAGCGAGAGCGAGAGCGAGAGAGAGAGAGAGAGAGAGAGAGAGAGAGAGAGAGAGAGAGAGAGAGAGAGAGAGAGAGAGAGAGAGAGAGAGAGAGAGAGAGAGAGAGAGAGAGAGAGAGAGAGAGAGAGAGAGAGAGAGAGAGGAGTACTGCGCCTCAACAGACACTAATCGACTTCCGATGGCCGAACTCTCCCAGGGTAAACGCCCACGCGAGCCGCACAGCCCTTGGGAAATGTGGACTGGAGAGCCATTGGCCAACTGACGTGAGCAGTGAGCACTGCAGGGTCATTCCCGCTCGTCTATTTCGGTCTGTCCCGGGAATTCGCCGATCATTAACGATCATCTCCACACGAGAGCGCAATCATCGTTTCTAAAATCCGATCAATTACCAGAATAGCCCGCGCTATTGCTCCACAGGCCCCGCAGAGACATCCTGTCTGAAGATGTACCGTCGGCTTCGGTAAACAAGCCGCCCGCGGAGGAGCGGCACGCATCGACCGAGTGCGCCGCGCCGACCGACGCGACCTTCAGCCATCGTCAGGGAAGCCTGTCGACCGCTGTTGTGTGTATGTGTGTGTGTGCGTGCGGGCCGAGCCAGCCACCGGATGCGCGCCAGCCGGCCCCGACCTTGGGATGTGCGTCGGTACCAGGGCATCGGTCAGTCGGGGCAGCGGTCAGCGGCAGCGCGCTCAAGCAGGTCTTCGCCGGTCGATGGGGTCGGAGATTGGCCTTCCTTCCGTCGGCGGAAGCCGGATTAAACCGGTGTTGCTATCAGAGGTTCTTCCACGACTGCACGAGGCGGTCAGTGGCTGGTGGTGCAGGAGGGGAGAGAATTGAGAGCACCGTCCACCGGTAGAGAGCGGATTGATCCGGTCCTGGTCTGGAGGACCAGTAACCCCTCGTGTGCCGGCGGACATCAGTGGTCCGCGGCGTAGGAGAGAGACAAATGAGGTAACGACAGACAGCGGCGAATGTATAATGTGCTTCACTTACATGAGGACCGCGCAGTCAGCGGCGGGGATGGATGAGGGGAAGCAGAGAGGGAGAGAGGGTGGGAGAGGAGCTCTACCGACGATCAGCGACACAACTAATCCCATTAGCGACCGAGGAAACCGGACAAAGCCCGGCAGGAATATGGAATAGAGAAAAACGAGAAGCCTTTTTGGTAAGTCTGTCCATGACAGAGCATAGCATGCAGCAGAACGAGGTGTGAACCGTGTCCTCGCCAGCCAGGACAGATGAAGACGAATGAAGATGCATCTCATTTGTGGAATGCACAGAGCAAGGAACAGAGAACATGCCATGCCATGGTCATCGAACTCTGATATCAGGCGATGCCCCTCATAACAGGAGCACTAGTTGTGCCCGTTATTGCTCATTATGAGAAGAAACCGTTCATTAGTGGCGTTAAAATGGATCTTCGGAGTCATCATCATACTCATATCTTATATCGATCTAATAGAGCTCATCTTCTTCCATATCTCTCCAAGATCACGGTCAATAAAGGCACCAAAGAAGACGTGACCGTTGTCTGGGATAATAATCACCGCGGGGGCCGGTTATGTAAGGTTTCTGATGACTAACCCAATCATTATCGAAGAAGACCTCTGAGCCCCTTTGGTCATTTTGTCGGAAAACCTGAGAGATATCAGCGAAACAGCCGGTGAAATCGGATGTGAGTTGCACAGAAGGGTTGTAGAGGGTAGACGAAAGAAGGCAGTCTGATGGACGTCAGGCGGATGGCAAAAGGCGGGAGGAATGGGTCGAACGGGAAAGGGAAAATGACATGCTTATTGTGGAGGGCGCAGATGGGCAAAATAAGATGGCAAAAAGGACGGTGGGATGCGACGGCTATAGGCGAAAGATGGAAGCGGACAGAATGCAGGCGGATGGCGCAGTTGTGGATTGCAATATGTAAAGCCGTGGGCGGACGACGAAGGTTGGACAGCGCGGCAGGCGGACGGCGGCAGGCGGCCGACCGCACGCGGAGGCAGTTCGGTGTGGTCGATATGCCACCACGCGGCGACCACCGACAGGGCGCGACCACCTGCGGACTGACGTTGTCGTTCCACTCGGTCCCAAGGCCACCACTCGGCGGGCCAACACATGTGGCCTGAATCAAACCAACAGCGGGCGTGCTACGCGTGTGTGTGCTAGTAGAATAGATGCAGGGGAATGGCAGTGGCTTATGTCATCACAACGAACCCAGTATGCGGGCCAAAACAAATTTAGAGAGCGGAAATGCCCGCATGCTGCTGTATCACCGCTTCCTGAATTCATGCGTGCAGCCCGCGGTATAAGAATCCGCTCACATAGAAACGCCACCCATCTGGAGTCAGGAAGGGGTGTGCCCCATGACCTATGTGCGCCATCTGCGACCATTAACTGCCACCGTCTGGTGATATGACATCACGCAGTCACTGGGCGCCGGTTAGGGGTCGTTCACACCGCCCCTATCCGCTGTGCGCCGGTCTGTGTTTACGATAAGTCCGCCACGGAGAGAGCGCGTGAACGCTGAATCGTACCCATGTCCAGTGCGGCGGGGTGGGCTGACCCCATGATTACCCGCTCACACACATATGTACACCACGACGGGCAATGCCCGGAGTATAGCTGGGCCGGCGACACAGCTGCAGCAGGTGGCCGACCTGACACGGCGCCGTGGTATAGGGTTACAGCAGGGGACACAGGGGCGGGGCGGGGACAGGGGAGAGAGAGGATAAGGTGCGGGACAGGGCTGGATGGATGGGAAAAGGGTGTTTGTTCGAGGAAAGATGAGATCGGCGCAGGGCGACTGAGGCTGCTCCGAGCGTACACACTGATTGCATGTTGCCTGATCATATCGCCGTGCTGCCCGAAACCTGACGGCTCCCCTCACCCCGGCCTGTCGTACCCAGCAGAGAGTGGCCTTGACGGCCCGCTCCTCTGACCCGTCCGGCCGCGTCCCAGACTCATGGACCTCGCTACTGACACCCCGGCGCGCCTGGTAACGCGCCCTCCGGTCCGGACCGCCCGCGCAGTCGCCACAAAACTGGCACACGGTCGTCGCCAGCCAAATATGGCGCTGGTCCGCGTCTGCGGCCGGCCCGGCGCACGTGAACTCGTATTTCGTGCCATGAACAATAACGGCCAGCCAGGTCTGCTGGCGACGGCAGCTTCAGCTGTGCGGCATAATTACTAAACTCATGAGTTATGGTCCTCTTTGAACTAATACTGCCACCATTTCGCAATACGCTGCCATGACCTGAATAATTATATGTAATCCCGAGTTTGGAAATGGTTCTAGTTTGATTTTCCTGTCAGAGAATTGGGGCCCAGACTTGTACGAGGACAGGCGTGATGGCCACCGGTTAGCGACGTCCATACTTCAATATCAAACGGCCGGTGTAAGCTCCCTCATGTTACGAGACCCGCCTAGCGACAGAGGCCGCCCGCCGGCGACCGGCCCGGAGCTGGGGCGGCCCGGGGTAGTTTCTCTCGGCCGGGTGAGAGGTGGCGGCGACCTGCACCGCCGCAGGGCGTGGAGAGAGGGCGCAGCCGCCGCGGCGGGCACCACAGGGTCGTTGACCTGGACGGCGCGGCCGTCTGTTGCCGCCTCCAGTGGTCCATGAGAGCCGGTCACTATCTGCCACCACGAGGCAGCCGCCGCGCCAGTATAACCCGGCGGAGATCGGGTCGGACAGGTCCGGGCGGTATCTTACATGGCCTACAGCGGAGATCGACCCAAAGCCCAGCCCCAGACCGGGCCCGAAGCCAGTCGATCGAGCGGCATCGGGTTCGCTTTGTTGAGGGACGTGGGAGCCATAACTCTATACATACATGGCCCCCGGTGTACGCCATCTAGCAATAAATAAACTTAATTAACCCTCGCATGTGTAGGGGGGGGGGGGGGTCGGATGGACCCCCCATGGTTTTTCGAGAATAACTCGCGTAAAAAGCGGCCGATCGCGACGAAACTTTCAGTACCCTCGCATTGATCAATTTTACACCTACCCTGAAAATTTCATGACCCTGACCCAAATGACCTTTGACCTGTGACCTCTTTCCCGAGACCATGTTTGGCCGGAATCGCGATTTTGCGTATGTCGGCTCGCATTAGCCGCGCGTTTGCAAGCTTTTCGTGGTTTCAAACGTTCAAACATGTGATCTGATGCTGCTCCCATACATTAGGGTGGGTGTCAAGGTCACCTGAAGGTCAGGTCAGGTCATTGACCTCTGGTGACCTCGGGTGACCTCGGCTCACTTTGTCGAGTTTTACATGTTTCTAGGCTAGTTTTTTGGAGCTGAATTCGAATTTAGCAACCATTTGAACATTTACGAAGTAGTTTTGGTGACTTCGTAACATGTTACGAAGCTGTCAGAGGCGGTTGACACGTACTACGAATACCCGTCCCGACGCCTACTGGTTGACCTGACCTGACCTGACCCGACCTGGTCTAAATGCTTAAAGATATCATCTGTGATCAAAACTAACACAATATTCGTGATCAGCACCCCGAAAAACCCCTTAGCAGCCACACTTTACGACTTTCTAACAGGTCCCGATTTTCCAGACTTTTGGGTCATTGACCTGACCTGGAAGGTCAACCAATGACCTAGGACCTTAAAATTGGGTATCATCGGCTTCCTCTCGTCACGGGCAACACGCTCGTTTTTTCCGCGAAGCTCTAGCTCGATCAGGGGCCAAACGGCAAGGGGGGGGGGTCCAACCGACCCCCCCCCCCCTACACATTAGAAGCTGGCAAACGCCGCACACATGCGAGGGTTAAGAATGTAAAGGGGCATAATGAACGAACTGATCTGCCGGGATTGCAATACCTAGTTTCTCATTGGCCCCGTACAACTCTCTTCCGTCCAACGCCATGCCTGTCTGTCTCCTCCGGTACTCACTTTCCAGTGTAGGCGAACTGGACGAGTGCTTCAGTGGCCTCCCCATCCAGCTTGTCGCTGAGCTTGTAGACGACGGGCTCCTGGCGGCGCGGCGCGCTGGACTTGACGGCCGCCTCGTCGCAGGTAAGCTGGCGGTGCTCGTCACCGAACAACTTCAGAAGGTACTGCGAGCTGCCGGCCAGTACGCAGTGGTGGCCGGCGATCTCCTGCTTACCCACCTGCCAGACATCAGAGTAGGGGTCAGCAGAGGTCAGGGCAGGGTCAGCAGAGGTCAGTCAGGGTCAGCAGAGGTCAGGGCAGGGTCAGCAGAGGTCAAGGCGGGGTCGAGGTAAAGGTCAGGGCAGGGTCAGCAGAGGTCAGAGCAGAGGTCAGCAGAGGTCAGAGCAGAGGTCAGCAGAGGTCAAGGCGGGGTCGAGGTAAAGGTCAGGGCAGGGTCAGCAGAGGTCAGGGTGTGGTCGAGGTAAAGGTCAGGGTAGAGGTCAGCAGAGGTCAGAGTAGAGGTCAGCAGAGGCCAGGTTGAGTCAGAAGAGGTCAGGGTGGCGCAGAGAAGAGGTTATTGTATTGTATTGTATTTACATTTAAGAGCGATCCACATACAAAGTGCGTGGCGATTACTGCTCTTATCACAAGATCAATCAAACGCATAGCATATATCTTTGATTCAGAGATAATCTTAGTAGGAATTTTGGTTGTATGTAAAATTTAGGCATACGTAAACTTCTTTATTTCCGTTTCACGAAAAATAATACATTCGATAAGAGGGACATATATCGTCTGATTAAATAGGTTTTATGTGCAAATACATTCACAAATCACAATTCACAGCCAAACTCCAAGTTTCAGTAATTACGGTTCTCAAAGGCCAAAGTCGGTGACCCAGTGATCAGTAGAGTGGGGAACGAAGGCCTCGTGAGTTCTTAGATAACAGCAATAGCTGAGTGACTAAGCGGTAAATAAGTATATATTCTCCTAAGATGCGATAGAAGATGGAATTTCAGCACTTCAAATAAACAGTTGAGAGTGTCAAGTACCCACTGGCCACTACATAGTGCAAGTCATTGGTACAAGGAGCGTAAAAACGCGTGCGTCAATCAATGTCTGTGAAGTCAGCGTCAGCAACGCATTCGAATACGTCGTTAGCGTCAGCATGGGTAACCAGTCAAAGCTCCAATTCACACCAAAGCACCTAATTGGCCGCAGCAGAACCTGTCCAACCTCATTAACACAATTAGCGGCATCACCCACCTGCAGGATGACGTCACAGAACTGGTTGTTTTTGCGCATGGCGTTGAGATTTCGCAGCAGCGCCGGTACGAACTCGTCATCGGCGAAGACGAGGGCGTCCGGCACCTTCCTCTTGAGCTCGACCTCGGCGTCATCCCCGAGCATCTCGGACGTGGGTACCTGAGGAGAGAGGGAGCCGGGTCAGACGGGTGCAGACCAACAGGCTAACGACAGCAGCGGAGCAGGTCAGAGCATCTCGGACGCATGGGTACCTGAGGAGAGAGGGAGGAGCCGCGTCAGAGGGGTGCGGGCAGCGCCGGTCCCCGAGCCTCAGACGTGGGCACCTGAGGAGAGACAGACGAGCGGGGAGCATTGCAAAAGTGCAGCACAGATCCTGCGTAACTATCCCTCTTGGAAAACTATAGGATAAAAAGGTGTACGGGAAACGTCGTGTCCGACAAATGATGTGCACTGCCACTGTGCAGTTCTGTTGATCGTAGTTCTTGAACCGCTTGGGGTACCGGGGGTACATTTCTTTTAGGAGGGGAGAGGGGGACAAACGAAGCTCAATACAACTCACTATGGCAAGATGCAATCGCCCAGAATGATCCGCTCGTAGCGGAACGAAAAATAAAAAAAGACGCGCATGTTTACATGGCGTGTGACAGTGACATAACCGTATCAACGACCAGACCATTACTTCAGCGAGGCGGGGTCATTGTATACGCATTTATCCCAGCACAACATCCGTCCAAACATCACTGGATTTATAAACTGTCCTTCGGTAGAGTGGTACATCGGTATACTGCCACGTATCAAACTTCATTTGTGTCAACATCCTCCCAAAGAGGCATTGCGTGGTCGATAAAGGACATTTCACTTTGTTTTTTCAAACACACACCCCATCACGCGCTATATTGACGTCATAACAGAAAAAAACGCACCGTCAGCTGACGTCATCAGTCCCATCAGACGACGGACAGGCCGGGGAGAGGCTAAGTTTGGACAGAGCTGCAGCTCAACTCCCATCACCGCTGTTTATCAGAAAATCAGCAGTAGACCCTCTCAAGGCCGGGCGTATGTCCGCCATAGCAACCGGCCGGTCGGCCAATGGGAGGCCATGTCTGGCCGCCCGCTCCCGGAGGTGGGGGGGGGGGGTTGTCGGGGGGGGGGGGAGAGAGCACGTGGCCGGTCACATGGCACCGTTCGCCTGTCGCTGGCAGGAGCGCCGGCGTCTGACAGTTCTGGTGGACGCAGACAGACAGCCCGGGCGGCCAATTTGGGGTCACAGTAGGATGATACACGCCCTGATACGGGTCCTGTTCCTAGCCGCAGAGATACACCAGGCGAGCCCGGCGACAGCGGACACAAGTCCCGAGAGGGGGTCGTGCCCGCCGGCCAGAGGTATGGGTCACCGCCGGTGCGGCGAATGGACAGCGAAATAAGCGACAGAATGTCGAGACGATACACAGACGCCGTCTTTTTGTAGACCAAATTATCAGTAGTCCAAAAGATAACTAAATGGCGAGGTTGACAGCTCGTTTATTTACATAATAAGTACGTATATTGTGTAGTTGCATAACTGAAGGTATGGTAAAAACATTTGAAGATTCAAAAAATCCTACACATTCAGTCAGTGCACAAATGTTCGGCTGCCTGTTATGCGGCGCAGGCTAAATACGGGCGGCACGCACTGCGGCGCAGTCTACATTCAGGCGGTAAGCACTGCGGCGCAGTCTATATTCAGGCGGTAAGCACGGTAGGCAGTGCGTCGCAGTCTATTCAGGCATCCCAACTGCAGCCTGTATAACCCATGCTCAGATGAGAATATTGCAGCTGAAGGACAGAAAACGTAGATCTGTTTCTCATATTATAGGTACCATATGTGAAGGCATCAATTCAGTATGGCTATGTTGTCTGTTGATCTAACAAGATTATCATTGCGCTTTATAAGGCTTCCAGTTATGCCAGTAACCATTCCGAAAAGCAGTGCTCGTAGCTTGCAGACTTACAAGAAGCACTTCATTTCGTAAACAAGGCGCTAGTTCTCGGTGAAAAGGGTCACTCCCTCCCTCCCAACGCCTTGCGGTCAGTAGAGGGCGGCCACCCGACCCAGCCCACATGGCACTGTGGGAGAGCGGCGCCGGCGCAGCAGCCAACCGGGTCAGCCGGCGTTAACAGGGCGGCGCGGCGACCCGGCTCCTGTCGACCTGGCCGGGAGCGGTCGAACCGGGCCAGCCGACGACGGCAGGCAGGACCGCTCCAGAAAACGGCGCACGTTACTGGGACGACGACAATAATGGCGAGTGTTTCTGGGACGGAGACAAAAGTGGCTCGCGGTGAATGGAAGATACACATATTTTGAGCAGAATTGGCGGACAAAACAACAATTACCGACTTGATGCATATAGATTCATGCGACGAGGAAGCCACCAGAAGATAGATGAAGAAAGGAGATAGGCTAAATTTCGAACTGACTCACGTAATTGAAAATGAAAGAATATTACAGGAGCGTGCAATCTATATGCATCTCGATTGAAAAACATAGCCCAAATACATACAGCAGACGTATGTCCTCATTCCAAAAAAAGATGACCCCACTCTCGGACCCAAAGTGAAAAAATAAAATGCAGGTCAGTCGCTATAACTTTGGTCCCGTGGCCAAATTCCACAGAGATTAGGCAGCACTGAATTTAGCTCAAACGACTGACACAGACAAAATGAAATAAAATAAATGAAACGAATGAGACAGATGAACGAAATAAATTTAAATAAAACCATTTTATACTAATACGTAAATTTTCATTTGGGTCAGAACTAGTCAGAAGCATCAAAGAAGCTCGATTTAATTTACGAGAATAATGGCTCGACTCTCGTGCAACACGCATGTTCTTTGAGTGAGACTTGAACGCATTCGTCTTGCGTCAAATGCTCCATCCCAAGCCCGTACCCGCGCCGTAGGATTCACCCCGGAGTAAGTACCAGTCTCCCATAATCGGCGGCTCCGGCGCCCCGGGTCAGCGCTGGGGCGCCCAGTGGACCAGGCTGGCTGGGCAGACCAGCCGCTTTTCGCCGGTACGGGCGTGGCGCAACGTGCTACGAATATACGGGAGACGTAGTTAGGTCCGTTTCATCAGTGGTCCTCTCAGCAAGGGCAGACAGTGGCGCAGCGACCGTCGCCGCTCCAGACACATCGGGAAACCCACTCTCAAACGAGTGTTGCGCAATTTCGTACCATGTCCGACGCCTCAGATGCCATCGGAGATTATCCTTACGCTGATAATAGTAGCTTCTGATGAGGACGTGAAAATGTAAAGAACTTGTGTAAAATGTCACGTCTTTTATTATATAGAATGGGAGCCGTTTGTTAATTTAAAGTTGATTAGTCCTCCTATCCGGCCAGTAGCCATAACCGCATAGGCGTAATTATTTAACTTCAACTGATATTTCTGCGCGGCAGCGGGGAGACCACAGACGGTCGATCCGGGTCGGCAGCCCCAGTCAACGACTCGTCCTTGAGACGTCTGCAGTAGCATGAACGGGCGCCTGCACACTTCACGTGCACCACGCACGTGCACGAACCACGTGCACCGGAGCTGATAGATATAAGATAGCCCAATGCGCCCGACCAGATAGCTCCGGAATATTCGGCGACCATTCGTCAGTCAGCTCCATGTTACATGCCTTAGCAGCGGCGTCTGCAGCGGCGGGCGGCGGGCACCGTTAGGTGACGGCGAGGTCACAGACGGTACGCCGGAGAGGTCACTGAGGTCACGGGGTCAGCCTCGGACGCGGTCATCACACCGGGCTGTCCTGCCGTCTGTCAGCGCCCGATCTGACTCTCCAGCCGAATCCAGAGCGCTGCGGCGCAGAAGATGGCCACATCGCGGACTGCCAGAGTTCGTTTTACGATGTTTGGCCGCCGCGGACGACTCGCCGTTTCGTAACCGTACCGTCTCACTCCGGAGCAGTCTGACACACCGCACCGCGTGACAGATGAAAATGACACGTGACGGCAGAGACTAACGACACGTGACGGGTGACGCCGCCTCGACGGCTATCTATAGTGGCCCTCGAAACACGGACGCAGTACTTGAGAGCCGAGGAACAGGTTGCCACCAACCCTGTCAGGGTGCAAAGCGGTTACTATCGCTGCACATCGCTTCCTTAAAGCTGTTGACGGGAGCTGAATGAGGTCTGCTTGGTGCTCTGAATTCTGATTGATGGTGGCACTCGTATTTAAGAAGCTCTTGAGCCACTGGTTGATATCCAAGTAGGCAATAGCTCCGCAACTCACTGAATGTTATGAGCTTTGTCTGATCCTTTGAATATCATTCACTATTCGAAGAACAGCTACCTCCGTTTCTGCATATCACACTGGCACCGTAGCCCCTTCCCACGTTCTCAAATGTCTCACATGCCTTCTCAAATCAAACCCCTTCCTATTCAACCACAAAACAAATATTTCTGTTTCACGCCTCGGACAGCCCATGAATGGATGACAGTGTTTGTGAGGGACTCGTAACTACAACGGGCGGAGAAGGTGGCCCGTTTACAGTCGTAAGCAGTGGCGGTGCCGGACTCACGGTGTGGCATTCGAACAAACAGAGGTCTGAGAGAGGCTGGTCTGCCTGATCGGAGTGCGACCTGCAAGCTTGAGCAGACCTCAGAAATTCAAACTCCCCCAGGAGAATGAGATACGCCGAAACGCACGCTGCGCGTCGCACCTAACACAACTGCGTCGCTTGAATGCAACTAAAATTGCCCTCAGGTGCAGCACAGAGCTCGGGCCTCCTTTGTTGCCAGCTGCGGCCATTTTTTACCCCACCAGCGGACCATCCTTTGTCCGCCGGTGCCACGGACGACCTTGCGCAGCTATCGCAGCGTGGACTGCATGAACTGCCAACTTTATAGCCAGGACGCACGGGGAACCGGTAAATATTTGAATCGCCGCCGCGGCGGCGGTCCTTCGTCGGCAGCGCGGCTGCAGAACGTTGCACAGGTCCTCTGTCTAAACAGCGGCCAGGCGCCAGTCCCTCCTCCCACTCCGCGCAGAGGGTTATACAAACAGTAGAGTAAAGGCACCCAGGGACGCCGCTGCATCACTCAACAGGGTACAGCCACACTGACTAGAGGTGGCAAAATGTGGACCCGGGGACCCGGTCTATGGAACCGGTCTGGACCCGGACGGGTCCAGACCGGGTCCCCCAAAATATTTGGCCGGGTCCAACCGGGTCCTATCAATTCCCTGTGCTTTATGGTAAACATTAATATCTTTTATGCTTTGGCAAACATAGTCATAGTTGATGCAGTTTCCAGTTCATAAGTCCCAATTCCACTTTTGAATTTTAATATTCCAGCAGATTGGGCTACCTATTCTATAGCATACTGATACTGGTCAGTCTTGCTTCAATTTCTTATCTTGTCACCTACAACAGAATAAACAAGTTTAAGTGCTAGCAATCCAGAAAACATTTCACCAAAATCCAAATGTTTGTACGGATCACTTCCATTCAGTTTGCTGTACAGCACCTAGCAATATTTTGAGCTGTAGAAATCAAATACCAATAACATATGTAGGTAAGTAGGTATGACTGAAATCCATTTATAAATGGACACAAATACAATTGAAGCAAGGCTGACCAGTGGCATTCTCACCTGCCTTTTCAAAGACATTGACATACCAAAGTCACTATGCCCACCGGAAATCAGAGTTCATGTTTGATATTCAAATGCATTTCATAACTCAAACAGCTTTGAAATTATTTCTATCACGGCCAGAAGACAACTCATAAAACCAACATGCCCTTGCATAAATACATAAAGCCAAAAATGGATCCAAGGCATTCTCCAGAAACCGTAGTATTGATCAGATTTTAGCCAACTGGCGCCGCATGGTGGCGCTAACAGAGCGTACTATACGTATAGCGCTCTACTAGCGCCATCATACGGCAGCAGCTGACAAAATACTGAGTCAATACCAATGCCCTTCTCCAAGGCCAGTGATTCCGTGTTGATGTGAAAATGGCGCATTTGAGCGTCATATATGCTATACCTTACGCACGCTAATCTACTGCATAAAAGTTACAATTTTGGAACACGTTCGGGAAGAAAGTCTCAGAACCCTTGGTATTACTATTTATTCTATGTCCAGGTACTAACAACAAAATGTAGTTTGTTTTCTACGTTAATAAATTGGCACTTAAGTCATGATCGCAACCGCAACTTGCAGTACTTGCAGTAAGTTTATTGCCATTACGATTTTGCAGTACTTTAACCCCAACAAAATTTTGCAGTGATTTAACGCCTGTTTTGGCATTGCTATCGTGTCGACATTTCTGGCGAACCTCACACAGTTTTCATGTTTCTATTTTGATTTTGAATGTTTTATCGTTTGGGGCCTTTGATAGTTGATAATATTTGTAAGGACTAATGAATTTAATTCTAAAAACGAATATCTTTTACCAAGAATATTAGAAAAGGTATGTATCAGTATGGTTATCTTGTTCCATGTTGATGTTAGGTTCTTGTTCTGACTCTGGTGAAGGCACTGGTCCATGGATCCCCAGTTCACATCATTTTTAGCAGCTGTAGTAAAAGTGGCTTAGGTTAGCATGAAATTCATTGGTCTACTTACTTCTTATATTCTTAAATATGACCTGAATCTGGTTCCAAAATACAAATTGTGAAGCGAAGTGAAATGACCATGGCATGAGTTTTTTTACTTTGCAACACAAGTATGCCCAATTGGAAAGAAACTATTTTCTTTTGCTATACCTACAACTGTACACAATTTTCATAATGAATTTCGGGAACGGGTCCATCTGGTTCCAACGCTGACTTAGACCGGGTCTGACCGGTTCCAGAAATGTGCCAGTCAGACCGGGTCCGGGTCCCAAAGTTTTCCAGTTTTGCCACCTCTAACACTGACCCTCGACATTTATCTGCAGCTCTGCAACTGTATCTTATCTTCACAGCTGTAATCGTTGCCGTACTCCGTATACGATGAAACGAGTCTAACTTCTCTCGACATATTACAGCATTAATCAACTCTGAAGGGTGAATAACAAAGCAGTGCGTTTCACCTCTAGGGCGCGGAAAGGTCAAACAGAATCGACCAGCCATTAGAGTGACAGGCGGGGGCGTCCACTGCCCCCTCCCCCCTCCCACTCCGAGTGAACGATGCCAAGCCTGCCCCGGTCGCGGAACAGGTAGATAAACACACCGTAAAAAGGGTCCTGCTGACATCCAAGGGGGGGGGGAGGAATGTCACCCGAGGTCTGCCAGAGGGGAGTCGGGGAGGAGAGGGGTGGAGGTGGGGGCGGGAAGCCAAGGACCGCGGTCATTTGGCCAGTCCCCATCGCCGATGTTGTCCTATTGCGTCAACGGTCATCGAGGTCACCGGTCATTGGTCATCGAGGTCACCGCCGATTATTGGCCACATAGGTCACCAGCCATTGGTCACAGAGATCACCGGTCATAAGTCAGCCATCAAGGTACCGTCTATGCTAGGAAGACGCTACGCCGGTCTCCGTTGGTGACGTAGGCATGTGGTAATGCATTGGGTAACGGAAATCCAACTGTTTGTCCAATCGAGTAAACAGATGCGCTATCGACTTTCACGAGAAAAGCGGAGAGTCCTGCGCCACACGAGATATAACTGGTTTGGATGAGATTGTGAAGACGGCATTACCTCAGTTGAACAGTTCTTCGTTCTACATACAAATATAACCATTTTCCAATCACATAAAAGCAATAACCTCAAGCTTTTCATAAGTCAAATTATTTTTGGATATAATACATTACAATATTACATACAATCCGAATCCGTATGGCAACTGCGCCATCCAGTCGTGTCCCAACCGTCAATTTCTCAGAAGTTTGCAGAACTTAGAGACGACGTCGGCTCTGGCCTCCTCGTCGGTCACAGCCCGATTCACTCGGCGACTCTACCCGGCTATCCCAGTGACTCCATCCGGCCCTCCACACTCAGCGACTCTATGTGAGGCCGTCAGGGACTCTATGTGAGCTGCGAACCCGCCCACTCGGCGTCTCTAACCGGATGCAAGACCTACCTCGACCGATGATCCGAGCTCAACGAGCGAACAAATGTTACCGCTGAAAATGGACAGGGCATTTAATGCCCGGAACGGCTGCCGCTGAACTACTGGCCTCTGATGTCCAGACCTCTGTGCCGTATGCACCATTCCGAGCGGGCTCCAGATAGATGTGCAATCAGAGCCGGAACTGGAGGTCACCGGTTACCGGCGGTTTCCCGCTCCACGGCGGACTTTGTGAACCACCGTGTATGTCAGTCCGCTGGTTCGTTAGTCCATCGATCGGTGAACTGCGCTCTAGTGAGACGCTCCGCCGTTTCGTGACAGGGCTGGGACCGGCACCGGCGCTCCCTGACGGGCGCCGTTACAGGCGCCGCCGCCGCCGGCCGAGACGGCGGCTCTGTTCAATCTCCATCAATCACCGTGTCCAGGTCTAGAGCTCGACAGAGACTGGCGAGCGGCGCGGCACTGGTCGGAGGCAGGCGATCTAGCGCTGAACGGGTAACGGCTGCACATATAGGTACAGCCGCACGGTACAGCTCAAAACAATGGGTACTGGTAGGTGTAACACAGAAGAGCACAGCGAAGAACCGCGCCTATAAAACCAGATGACGTCTTAGAACCAGAAATAGGCGGTTGTCTGAATTCTGAATAGGTCGACGTTAATTTTCCCCCGAAAAGACCTAACATGACGGCACAATAGAATCTATAAAACTAGAATCTATTCATGCATTGCTAGAAGACACATCACAGCTGCACAGTGCACGTAGTTAATAGGTAGGTATATCTTATCATAACACAGCACAGCACAGACTACTAAACCCGTTAACATATAGCCACGTGACAGAGGTAACGAAGCTCAAATGCACAACACCCTAAAACACAACAAACCAATGCTCTAAACTTCCAGAAGGGAACATCTGATTAGTAAACATGGACTGAAATAACGGTAACAATACAAGAAAACAGAACAACGCTGCCGGGCGCGCTGGCAAGTGGCAACAGGGGCGTTTTATAAGCGCGCCTGTTTGAAAGGAGGGGGACTAACGTGCGCCAGCGGGTCTCCTTACGATTGGTCTGTCCCAGGGGTGTCCGGGCGACGGCGGCTCAGTGCGCGGCTCCATGCTGTCCGGGTCAGGTCAGCTCAGGTCGGTGCGGGGCCGCTCGGTCAGCTGCGTCTGGGAGCGGAGCACGAGGAGGCGCCGAGCGCTGCGCCGACCAGCCCACACTGGCACTGAGCGGCGGCGGCGGCCGGGGCGCGCGAGCCGCCAGCGCAGTCCATCCTAGCGGGCCGGCCAGGGAGGCAGGGACCGGGCAGGGACCGGGCGGGGTAGGAGCAGGCAGGGACCAGGCAGGGACCGGACAGGAAACCGACAAGGATCAGACAGAGCGGGGTCCGGCTCAGTAAGGCTTCCCGGATCACTGAGTCTGCTGTGACGGATGCAGTGGATGCGTCTGAATCCGGAATCTACTGGAGTCTGGCGGATCTGCTGGGATCGACGGAACGGTTGGGATCTCGGTGACACGGTCCGATGGTCCCCACGGTGGTCCGGTGGTCCTGGCACGGTCCGCGGCGCCGCTAAAGCCGCCACTGGGTCAGCGGCCGGGGACCCTGGCCGGCCCGACCAGCGCGCAGCCGCGACCCACGGTTGGTGAACAGGATCAATACATCACCCGCGGGCCGCGGCGGGCTCCAGCGTCCGCGCGGCAGCGCGGGGCACACAACACATAGACAGAGACCAGGATATAGACCTGTCCTTTATGGACACACACCACAGAAACCTCCCTAAAAGGCAGCGAGCTTCGGGTCCATCCAAATCGCCGTCCATCCCGCTGTGCGGCCGAGCTACGAACCAAACAAATCGCCACTCATAAGCCGACGATCGGCCGCCCAGCCATACCGGTAAGAACCGGTTTGAACCGTCCGCGCAGACCGGCGCGAAGAGCCACAGCAGAACGGCTCACCTGTAGAACGGAAACATTGGAAGCTTCGGCGGACGGATGGACTATTTGGAGCTTTGATTAGGAACTCCATCACAGTCGCCTCTTGCAACCAAGTAAGCGAGTCACAAATATCCCGGAGGCGCGACTTAAAACGATTATTGGGGCATACTTCTCAAATTGTTTTTCTTTTCAATCGCTTTCCAACCTGACGACCCAGTCTTGGAAACGAGCAGCGCTCGATTTAGGTAGAGGGCAGGAAAGCACTTACCTACCCGAAGACGTAGAACGTAATTCTCTGCTTCTTACCACTTCTTGGTCCTTTATAACAATTTATAGGTCGAATAGATTATAATAAACACAAGTTGGCGTGGAGACCAACACATTCGTAGCGCTACCAGTAGACATCAGACAGAGGGTCTTCAACCAGGGCCCAAGGAGGCACCGCCGGATCGACGGCCAACTGTACAACACGTGCAACAGTCGGTGGAGCGCGAATTTTCTCTTACGAACTATAGGAAAACAGACACGTGCTGAATATCCACAAGGTCTTCCCAACCCAAACTAATGCACGCAACTGTTCGATAGACGGCTTCTTTAAACTTATAACATGCAATTAAAAATGCTAATTTCAAACAACGACTCGCACATACCTGCATGATGATGAGATGTGATCATGCGTGAAGGAAAGCTCTTCTCAAAGTCCGATCAGCCCGATCAGCATCATGTGGAGGATCGGGAGCTTGAATAAGAGGCCTCGACTTTGAGTCAATTTTCATGCAAAAGTAGGGGAGAGTGGGGTAAGATGCCCAGGGTGGGAAAGACCCCCTCTAGCGGCGAAACAAAGAATCGGACCTGGAAATTAATGTTCTTAGCGTAAAGCGGAAGCCTGCCTTGTTAACTGCACAAAAATTTGCGAAGCCCAGTTGGGCAACGGCTGGCTGATGATTGCATGTTTTTTATTTGCTGCTTTCAAAAAATATTTTGGTGTCAGAACATTGCAAATATCAAAAAAGGTGATAATTTTTGCGTCCCTTGCTATAGTCGTGATACATTAGCATGCGTGAACTGTGTCCCAAACAGTTTGTTTCAGGGTGTAGTTCTATGGCTAACAAACTGCACTGATTTAATGTTACTTCGGTACCTTGGGGTAAGATGCCCCCTGTCCTGATGGAGAAAGACGCCCCCTAAATCCGTAGGCTGTCCTTCAAACAGCCCGTCAAATCATTTATTACATACTTGTGATGTAGACAAAAGCCGATCTGGGACTATTGAAAGTCCAGTACGGTCGGGTGCTCCCCATGCTGGTCTCTCGGCCCACACAGCGACTTTTTGGGCGGCATCTGACTCTGAGAGCCCTCACGACGGCCTCTGTGGGCCCCATTATTGGCTCCAGGGCCCCTCACGACATCCTTTGAGGGCTCCCACGTTGGCCCCACGGGCCGCGCTGGCATCGGAGGTCCCCACGATGGGCTCGAGAGCCCTCAAGCATCATGAACTATGAGAGCCCCACAGTGGTCTCCGAACGCCACCACGGAGGCTTGTTTGGCCGCGCTGGACTATGATGGCCCTAACGATGACCTCTGAAGCCCCTCACGACTACTTTTGAGGGCCCTTATGATGAAGTTTGGTGTCTACTGCAGGCTCGAAGGGACTACTGATTCGTTCAGGCGATTCACGTGCCCATTTATGTCACTTACAGTGCAGGGGGCATCTTTCCCAACGTCAGGGGGCGTCTTTCCTACCCTCTGGGGTAAGATGCCCCCTTTCACTTCTTCAGGAAAATGCTTAATAGCAAAAAAAAGTTATAATATTTCAGTCACGAAAGTGTGATATTTTTGGAGAAAAATGATGTCGGCTTCCGTTGAAACTCCAAGTTTTTGCTTTCCCATCATCATTTTCGAATAATATATGACATAGCAAAACCCTGGGCATCTTTCCCCACTCTCCCCTACCTATGGGTGAAACTAAGCAATAAACAGGAACTGTAACACAATCCAATTACTAAATCTATGGAGAATAATCGACCATAACAGCACAGGTTCCTAGCGTTCTTATTTCACATTTTCTCTCCACAAACGTCTTTTATGCTGCCTGTGTTTTTGCTCTTCTTTTTTCCTCCCTCTCTCCCATGCCATCCTGCCTATCTCGGGCGTCAGAACCACCGTCTCCGAATCCTGTTACCAGGTGCGTCCATTCGCCCTCTCTGTGGGACAACTTTCTCAGACCATCCTGTCCATATCGCTGATCGAGATCGGTCATCTCACGTGACCCAGCGATGGCCGACCGGCACCGGTCACGTGACCCACGAGGGCAGGTTCTCGAACAGCCTGTTGCTAGGCCCCTCAGTAGCTGGCGCCCGTGAATGGGAGGTGGGCCTCCAAGTCCAGCCCGCCGCCGCGACCAGTTCTGCTCACAGGCGGAAAACACAGCACTGGGGCGTAGCATGTTTGAAGATAAGCTGCGCTGTGCCATAGACGCCGCCATGTCTGCTGGCATATTTACGTCTGGACAACGAGTTGCGGGGAAAAGTGCTGATTGTGTTGCAGTTTTAGGAGCCGGTGATTAGGCTGGATTTTTTGGTTACTTTTTCGTTCCGATTCTTGTATTTCATAGTGTTTGGCTTTTGAATATTTTAGTTCTTTCAGATAAATATTACTTGCCTTACAACTTTTGTAAAAACGTTTCATTTTTTTATAAGCCGACGTTCAGAGTCCTAAAAATACATCAGCACTACAATCATTGTAAACAAACAAATGGAGCACTGCACTAATATACCCTGACTGCACTTGGCTCTGTTCCAAGGCCATTTTAGTTTATCTGGTGGTTTTCTTGCTCTTGTACGTCGTTTTGTCGGATGTTTTGAATCCCTTAAGATTGACTTATATCATATTTAAGGCGCATGTTGACTGAAAACAATCTGAAGTATCCAGGAGGCTGACAGAGGTCCTGACTCCTGAGCAATATCAATATCAAGTTGAACAAGTTATGAAATTTTGGTTGATAAACGCAAGTTGATCGGGCTCATATATCAGCAAGAAAAAGTAAAAATTAAAAGAGCTTATTGGCCAAAAACAAGCTATAATATTGCAGACCTTGGAGCAATACTGAAGAGCACGCTGAGCAGGACCATGCCAGAAAATGTTGACTGATGAGCGCATATTGATGTATTGGTATGAATATTGAATGATAACTTACAACAGCGAGATAAATTAGTGCTAACTATCAAGTTAAAATCTAGAATGAATGGACTTGGGCAGTTTTACTATGCTTAGATGCTATGCAGATTGTAATGTGCATCAGGTACTCAGTGTCTGGCAAATGAAACATGCGATCATTTCATTGCTACTGGAGGAGAAATCTTGGATCACTAAATCCACTTAATGTTGATTTTGATGTTAATCATCATCACTGTATTTCTTGAAAAAAGGATTGTAGTAAAATTGTCAATGTGACAATCCATGGAACGATGTGAAATGTGCTCATAGTCATTCGTGATAGTGATTATTGGTCCAATATACAATGGCAAAGCTCAGTCTCAGCGTTTCTTCCTGTGGATGGCCAGCAGTGGCTCAGAGCTTAGAAGTATTAGTTTTCTTCACAGGGCTGGGATAAAAAGTACTGAGGGTAATCTTCCACCAAGGAACTCTACTTTGACGTGGTATGAGATGTAGGCACAAGTAGGTAGGTGCTCAGTTCCTATAGTCAGTAGTTGTGTATGTTTAGTCGGGTTAGCTTAGATTAGATTGTTAGTTTTTTAATTTACCAAATGTCCATAAAAATGTGACCTGAGCAATGAGCAATGCATACCTGACTAACCTGACAGCTGACCTAACCTCAATCATCACACATATTTGCAGTCTACCCAAGACCTGCATGGCAGTAGCACCCAGTTATAGGTAGGTACTCACCCTAACTCAATCTTACCTGCTAACCTTCAACTTGCCAAAAGTTAGCTCACATTGCCAAGCTGCATCCAGGGAAACAGTCAACTGAGGAACTGGCTCATTGGGTGGCTGGTGTGAGTCTGTGCATTTAAAGTGTTTCTTCTCTGAAGCTGCTCTGCACTGCTGTATGTCATGTTAGATGCTCAGAAAATGTGGGAAATGATTACTAAGCTACTTTAGTGCTTTGTTAATGCTCGAGACATGAACAAGTACAGTTCCTGCAAGGTACAGCTATGAGTTAGGTGCTAGGTGAGTATGTTATGTGAATGTGCTGTTCCCTGTTTGACCGTAAGTATACAAACAAGCACAGGGTCACAGTTATATTCAATCTCCACATAAACATACAACAAAAACGGCCATATAGCCTAACTCCGAACACACCACAGATAACTTAAGCCTTTGCAGGCACAAAAATGTTTTAATTAACAGGACAGGTATACAATATATCCTCTGCCCTTCAGGGATCTTGCTGCCAAGTTGAGGTACGATGACTGAACCTCAGGATTGATCAACCTCTTCTTAGCCACTGCTTATATACGAGAAAGACCAAATGCTTGTTTGTTTTGATTTACAGGACATGTATACAATATATCCTCTGTCCTTGGGGGATCTTGCTGCCAAGCGATGACTGAACTTCAGGACTGATCAACCTTTTCTTAGCCACTGCTTATAAACGAGAAAGACCAAATGCTTGTTTGTAAACTGCGTTGAAAATTTAATGATCCACCTTCAATTCCAATTCTGACATGAAGGCACAAATGAAATAGTTCCCTCTCCTTTTGGAATACACAAAGCAAAATATTTAATAAATTTTAGTGGATGGACAAGAGCAATTAGCATAGCTTTCCCTCAAGTTAACTTCTGGCACTGGTGATAGCAGGTGATAGGCCCTCTGATGATGAATTACACTGACGCTTATTCGCTTCATATTTTGTAACAAACGCGCTAAAACTGCAATATAACAGCACTAAATGCTTCT